TAATTCATTCATGGTTGAATCTTAAATTAAATTTATGATTATATTATTTATATTATATAAATATATTTGCTATTGTGCGATATATGAATTCCAGATTTTTTGTATTTCTTAGAATAATTTGAAAATTCGTTCAAGGTTTTCTTTTATTTTTAGCTTAGCAAAATTATATGGAATTCACCTTAATTCTATATAAACGTTAATTATTTGAAAAATATCTAGATAAAGATCATTCACAAATTCTCATTTCGTACAAATTTTCTTCAAAATGTAATACAGTTGGATTAAAAATATCCTCGGTCTACGCGTTTTAACACTTTGGGGACGGCTGTCCACCTCAGTGGACAAACATACTCTGTGAGACACAGGCTATTTTATAAACAATGACTCAGTTTACATCGAAAAGTGGAAAAAATTACATATAGCAGTGATAAACAGTATTGTATTTTGAAATTAATTTTAAATTATTTTAGTAGTATATTCAGCCTTTTTCTTTGCTATATGGTCTTTTTCTTAATATTGGCGAATGTGCCGATTCTCCTTCAATAATCCAGTTTGACATACATCAACAAACACCCCGACTACAAATACCAAGCAATATAAGACATCCAATAGATCATTTTACTTTATATTTTATAAATGAATTATTAGACAATATAATAGAAAAAACAAACCACTATGGCAGCACAAAAATGAACAAATATACTGATTAATCAGTGGCATATTCTAAATGCGAGTGAAAGAAAAAGGGATTGTATTGCCTGTTCTGACAGAAAAGCACCAGGAGGGAGGGGGCGAACAACATTTTATTGTAAAACATGTCAAAATCGACCAGCATGCATTTTGGAAATTGTTTTGAACGTCACCATTCTTTATAAAATGATCAAAAATAAATTAATATTAAAAATGTATGTCCTTCAATGACCACAAATTTTTATCAAACAAATTGCATAACATACACAATGAAATCAAGTTTACAGCCGGTAAAGTAGATTGTTTTGAAATCGGTGCCGTCCCGAAAGTGTTAAAATTTTCGTATCTAATAAAAACTCAAATTTAAATTACATCAATCATTTACCCAAACCCTATATGAAATGGGAACTTGCTAAATAAGTATACGGCATCGGCATCGGAATCGAATCAACTTTATATTATTTTCGTACGTTTTATAGATGCAAACGTTGATCGTTCAACACCCCGTCAGTTGTCTGCTCCGCCAGTATATATGTTTCCTTGAACGTCGGGGCGTTTACGACTTTTGGGGTAGGTCGTCAAAACGAAAACGCGCGCGAAACGAAATGACAGAGTCAGGCGAAAGGACGCACCTAACTCAAACTAAGCGACTTCGACCTCGAAAAGGTACGACGGACTCCCGACGCAGACAAGTTATAGGACGATCTGAGAAACTTAAACTGTGGGAAAATGAAATATTGAAATTATTTGGTATTTTTATCACTTGGTTATACCGAGTTCATAAATGCAAATTACTGCGATTTTCTGCATCTCCAATGATTTGGAGTGACTTTCCACAAAAATACCTTTGAAAAAATGAAGGAGCAGTTGTCCCATCAGATTAACTTTGATATGATGAGTTTTTTACTAAATAATGTTAACAAACTGGAGTAAACATAATATTTATATATGTCGCTAAAAGGCAGCATAAAGTCTGTTATGGCTCTAAATTTATTTCACGTTTCACGAAAGAAACTAGTGAGAAGACTCGAAAGTAAAGCCCCATCGTCCTAGAGTGGACTATGGGGCTTCTATGGAAAAAAACAAGTGAAATAATTTACAGTAAGGTAAGTAGTATCTAAACTACATGGAGATAATATAAGACGTTTACAATTTTTTCTTAACACGGTTTGATGTGGTTCATTTATATTTGGATGGTCCACTCTGGTTAGCAACACCTCTTTTCTATTCATTATATATATGAAATGTTTTTAGTCAAACTAATAGTGGCCTTAAATGCTCAATTATTTTACTATGTTAGTTAAGTATATCTTTACGCGCAAGAACACTTCTATATGATATTTAAATATATAGTATGAATTATAGCAATATTATTATTCTAAAACAACTATAATTAAATAATATATCATTCAGTTATAGAGATGATAAAAAATACTAATTCTCGATTCCAAAGTCTGAGCATAGTATATAAGATTATTCTTTAGTCCAATAAGAAAATCTTTTGTATTTCCAAAGACAATATTTTAAAAGCTTTTAAGAAGTAAATTTTCAATGTTGACATTGAAATCTTTATTATATTTTCTCATAATAAACAAAATTTTGGTTAGTGTTCACTGTTCAGTAAGCTACCGGCTTTTTAACAACGTGTTCCGTGTTCAAATCCACGTTTGAGACAACCTGATATCAAGCAGCAGTGATATTCATTTTATTCAAAAATATAAATCATAATGTACCACCGTTTTTTTTAATAAAATAACCTTTTATCATCACTATAAGGCAGAGCAATCATTACATTGCCTCCGAATACATCAAAATAGATTGTCAAAGCAAGTAAACCATTGGGTTTCCTTAAAAATAGCATCATACGGAAGAAGTATCAGCAGATTATATAATTCTTCATTTATATTGTTGTTCGAAGAAAAATCATAGAAAAATGTGAATAAAATTTTCAAAAACGCCCTTCCCTTATTTTGATACAGAATGTTCAATCCGATATTGAAAAACTACCACTCATAATTTGCAATGAGTTAACTAAATTAATAAGGTTATTGTTAATTATCTCATTTAAAATATTGATAACCAAGACATTGGTTTACCATTAATTTTAATCAAAATTTTAAAAATTCAACCCTATAGGGCAATTTCTCAAATTCACTCTAGTAGTTTTCACTTTGTCTTGATAAATCTTTAAGTATTTTTGGATTAAGTTAATTCTTAAGAATATTTATTATAAATAAATAGAATGCTCATGAATGAACAAAATAATGAAATAAAAATATATTTATTCAAATTTCCTTTCTTTCCAGAATGAATTTTGGAATTTTGGAAAATGATGAGAAATACTTTGAGAACTTGCAGTACATATAAAACGAAGTGATAAACTGATAACGTTTCCGTATCCATGGTATTCGGGCTATAAAGAGGTCGTATATGAACAAAACACAAACTTGGATCAAAACATTCGCACGTGCATCAATACGACTGTCGGATAACATCTTCTACGGGATTAGATCTTATGGGATTAGTCTCGTCCTAGACTAGATTTCGAGAGGGTATTGATTCTGATTCGAACATTTACAAAGTAAAGTCAAATGGTCCTATTTATGAAAATGTTTCTGCTTCGGGAAGTTATATTGTCGTATAATACAAGGAAACTGGAGAATTTTGAAAATTGAGTGCTTATAAGGACCGTTTGCGCAATACTAAAGTCCAATGCTTTTAGTAGTTTGCCAGAGAAGATGATATTTAGTTAACAATAGTTTGTACAATATAGATATCAGAGTTATATTTTGGAATAGATTCCACTAGCAAAGGTCGAGTATTAAACAAAAAAAACTTTTTTTAATTATCCTCTAAGGTCTAAGGTAATGTTATTAAAACCAACCAAAATCTAATTTAATACTGTAATTAATGCATTAGTCCAATAAAAATTGTTTTAGTATGCAACCAAGACAACAGTTTGGTCTAAAGATAAAAACAAATTATATCCCCATCCACATATAATAAAAACGTGTAAACAATCCATTAACACTACATAACAACCTTTTCTCATTTGATAATTATAATGGATCATTTATTTATGATTGATACTTCAATTAAGTTTATCAAAATTTGCATAAGACTTAAATGATATTTTTAATGGAAATTAAAATATGCAGATTGAAATAATTCAAATTAAAGTGGTTGTGTATGCATCAAGAGTGGATATCATGGATATGACTCTGGAGGATTAGTTACCAGACTAGTCTTAAAAGGATTAGAATCCGTTGAAAACACTAGGAATGAACTTTACAAAGTAGAGAAAGGATTTATAAACGTTTTATTAACGCTTAATATCAAGTCTGGCGTTTATAATTTATTGCGCGCATGTCTATTAGGATTACCATTCAAAAATAAGAACTAAAAAATTTTTAAGCATAAATATAATATACAAGTTATATAATGAACTACATGACTTTAGACCGGAAAAATGCAAAAATAGTGGGAGCATAAATAGAGAATTATATATATCAATGTTTTTATTATTAGAACTTTAATTTAATAAACAATAATATGATATCCGTAAATCATTGTTAAATTCAATAACCTCTCACGCATATTTACACGTCGCCCAAAAAACGTTATTTTTTCAACTTGTCGGAACTCGGACGCACTTTGACTTTATTTTTTTCATCCTTATCCACTCGCCAATATTTTCCTGATTCATTTGGATTGACGGAGACAAATTGAGTATCATTTTTTTACACATCCAAACATATTATATCAGGCTAAAAATGATCGATCGATTACCGAGCTGACCACAAGATTACAGAGAACAACGCGTTTTAAAAGAAATAAAATAAACTGCATCGATACGTGATGAATAACATGGTGCAAATGCCGTTATTTTAATAACATACGATGATCTTGGTAGTACATGTATAAATTGTACATTGCCTCGGGGATGGGTGTAACGTGTCGATGTTCGAAAGTCACAGATATTGAAGGTTTCGGTGTTGCAACTTAATTTAATGCGAATTTAAAAGACATAATTGAGATAAATGGTAATAATATTATTTATGATGTTTCGATGCAAGAAACAGAATCAATAAGGTTCAGGTGGAAGTTTCTTAAACGCGATAATGGATTTTTTTTAAATACCGAAAGAAGGTGCGTGCATGATACATGACCATTGTGACATAGTGATGAACAAATACGAATTCAACAAAGTCGAATCCCATATCGATTTTTATCAAGAATTCTCATCTCTAATTCTTTGGTTTCTCGGACACGGACTTAGACCGAGTTGTCTGTCGTTCCGCGACCTACTCAATATTTCTCTCTCCAAGTCGCTAAATAGCCCTGATGCTTTTATTGAACTTGTATTTTATATGTATGATTTTTAATGAACTGTTTATTGTGCTCTCTAGACTCTATAGACTTCAATTCCTCAACTGTAGCACCTGCTGCTCAATGGAAATTAACTGGATATATTTATGCTATTAAGAAGCAAATCCAATTACAAAAAATTTAAGTAACTTCCACCTCCGCGACGCCCAACAATTTATCTTGTATCCTCAATACTTTCCTGGATATCTTGTCCCAGAATCGCTCTCCTCGCTCACTAATTTAGTCAAATGAATGGCAGAGACGATACGATGCCGAAGACAAACTCTATGTGGAATTAATATGCCTTAGAACGAAGAAGAACACATTCTAATTAAGGGAACAGCCATCAGAGAGAGTCAGACACGCCGAAGTTTCCAAGTTTTATGTCGCGCACAACAGCAATAATCATCCTTGGCGTTGTCTGGCATTTGGTGTCATTTCCAGAAAGGATAGAGTACTGTGCCGAAATAATGTAATGGACATTGTACATCTTTGGAACTGAATTTGGAGAAGAATTGTGTTATATCTGGGATTAAGCAATGACTCAACTACTCATAGCACTTACAAGTCGGAAGTTGAACGGCTCAGGTAAAAATTATATATAAGTTAGGTCTGGGCACAAAGGTCCAATGTGTGCTTTTATCAATTATGCTATGAAAACCAAACCAACTATATAACAACAAATAGCGCATATCAAACCGACAATCATTGTACTATATTCAGTCAAATTTCCATCCAATTCGTTATTATAAAAATATGTTTTTTGCTATTTTGTGCTAGAATTGGCACCTCAGTCTTGACATGATTTCAGCCCTCCTAGCCATCGGAAATGCAAAAAATCAAAATATTATTAATCTAAAATGATGTCGCAAACGCCCGAACTAGCGATGAGTAAAAAGATTTTTTTTTACAAATTGGCGACTGTTTGAGTAAAAAAAAGTGTTTTTTTACTGTTTTTTTGAGTTTCTCGAATTTTTTAAAAATAGTAAAAATTGGAATTTGGGGATAATCCTAGTTCAGGCTATATTTAGGTGTATAAACAAGACTCTCTGAATATTTCAACTGAATCGGTCGATTAAAACTCGAGAAATCGTATCACTGAAAAAGTCTATTCTGAGAAAAACGCATTTAAAGTTTTGCGTGAAGCCAAACCAGTATGTAGACGGAGTCAGTAAAATGCCTATATCTTCGAAAATAATTCAAATTTTCAAAAACCTTCTCGTGTCCATATTCTTTGAACACTCGTGTTCATACACTTTGAAAATATGAAATAAAAAAACACGATTTTTTTGAATTTATATACTAGAATGTTTCTTGAAATACAATTAGGACAAATACAACTTCTGTGTAAAATGCATTTTAGGTATATGGGCACATTTTTCACACTGCATACAACCTCTTAATAGAAATTCGTCAGAAGAATTCATCATTAGAGTTGGAATAAGTAATAATTTATTCTGTCTTGTGAAATTGTTTTTTAACGTATTTTTCTTTTTATTATTTTCTTATTGTTTACGTCATGAAGGTATTAAGGTTCAGGTAGTCCTTTTTACCCCAACCATATATGAGCTATTCTAAAGGTTATATAAAGCAAACTGTTGGATCTATCTTGAAAATAACAATACCCCTTTTAAAATAATATCATAGTGTTTTCTTCAAAATTATATTTAGCAAAATTTAACTAAATAACACTGCTCAAAACGAAAAAACTTGACGAAAAAAGTACTTTCCTTCAAAGTGATCGATTTAAGGCAATAGCTGGTCACACCTTCTTTGCCCTCCACTTTAAAATAGTATAGTTAAAAAATCTTTAACGTTACTTGATAAGATTATGATGGTGAAATTTTTAACTCGCGAACCTTTGCATGAATGACTACCTCAAGATAATATATGAAAAATGGAATCACCTTATAAGCATATCATTTATAGTAAGCGCGTTTCCATTACCTAATGCATAAAAAAGTAGAATTTTATTAAACCTGCGTCTCCATTATATGTAACACCACCAGAATTTTTACGATTCTAAACAAAGTTCAAAATGAAAATTTCACGGTGTCGAAGTAGTAATTAAATCAATCAGGCGTAAAAGCTCCCACGCGGCATATCTGGTACAGGTCAAGCGTATCAAAAGCACATACACGTACATATACGATACCGTACCTATCCCAATGTTATGCACATTGTTACCATTTCACACAAGTAATATAATATATATAATAAGAAACCAGAGCTATTGGATCGATGAAAGAGCCGCTCGCTCAGCTGTAAGTCGTAAAATCTTGAGCTACCCTAGCAGTAAGTCCGCTCGTAAACTGAATAAACTGGGACGAAGCGCGATACCGACGATACGGTCGCCCTGATATGACGGATCATTATTTGCGGTTGCGGCGGTACGGAACCCTTTGTCGTCCGGAAACGACCCAACTATTAACTTCGGCGAATTAAACTCACAATCAGACTTTATCTATATCAAACCGCACGATCAACAAATTAAACACAACTATGGGGAAAGAAATTGAACTTCTCCTCCATACAACGCAAGTATTCTAGTGTAGAAGTTAAAAAAAATCGATTTTTTTTATTTCATATTTTCAAAGTTTAACTATCTAAGAATATGGGTACGAGAAGGTTTTTGAAAATTTGAATTATTTTCGGAGATATAGGCATTTTACTGAGTCGGTCTCCATACTCGTTTGGCTTCGCGCAAAACTTTAAATGCGTTTTTCTCAGAACAGAATTTTTCAGTACTGTTGACACGATTTCTCGAGTTCTACTCGACCGATTTACTTGAAATGTTCAGAGAGTCTTGTTTATAGACCTATCTATAGCCCGAACTAGGATTATCCCCAAATTCCAATTTTTACTATTTTTAAAAAATTCGAGAAACTCAAAAAAACAGTAAAAAATCACTTTTTTTCAAACAGTCGCCAATTTGTGAAAAAAAATCTTTTTACTCATCGCTAGTTCAGGCGATTGCGACATCATTGCAGATTAATAATATTTTTATTTTTTTCATTTCCGATGGCTAGGAGGGCTGAAATCATGTCAAGATTGAGGTGCCAATTTTTTGAGGCCACCCACTTCATCAGCTGCCAGTTTTTACAATTTTCAACTTTTTTATTTTTTAGTTTTTATTTTGTATTTTAATAATATTAATAAACAAGTGGTAAAAAATGGTTAGTAAAAACATTCATTGCTTTCTTCTACGACACTTTAAAAATTACCTAAAATTCATCGCTCTACACTAGAATACCCCCTTAAAAGAAACATATTGATAATGATATAGATATAATTAAGTCTGATGCTATAAAAATCGTCCAGCCAATCACTTGATTGGCATTCGAATTAGACAAACTAAAGTTACTACCAAAAATTTGCTGATGTTCAGGATAGAATAGCTACAAATATTTGAAAACGTGTATTTAAATTTGACGTCATAGAAAATATTTCTAAAGATTTCTAATAAGTTATATGTATTTTTTTGTACAGTTGTCGTGACTATATATGATTATATAAGTAGTTGCCATAGACTTTACACTACATGGACTGCTAGTCGAGCGTAAAATAAGTATCAGAAGATAGAAGGAAACTGACGTCACATAGTGAACGAGCGATGTCGACAATTGTATACACTCCTTACATGCTTAACCTAACTTGTCACGTGCTTAACCTTAAAGTAAATATTCTTGCTCGATTTGCATAAACAATAGTGGATATTACATATTATATTATGTATTATACACAATAATACAACATTTTTATTAATCGGGAGTGTCCACGATTGTCGGCAACGCTTGTTCTTGCTTTTGGGATAAAAATGGACAAATGACAAATTTTATAAAAATATTTAAAAAAACATATTTCTATAACTAGGAATTAGATGGAAATTTTACTGCAAATATTTCGTAATGAAAAAAAATCCAATATAGTGAACAATTTGTCATAATAGATCTTAATTGGGTCAGTGACTCTGATGATGCATTTAATTATATAAAAAATAAAGAGCCCAAATACTTGCGTATTAAAATATAAACTGCTGAAATATCAATGAATATTTCAGCAATATTTCTCTTGAGAGTACTACTTGAATTTTGATGTATGTCAACAAAGAACATTACAAAACCGCAAACAAATTTTATCGCAATCACCTCTTCACACTCTTGGTTATTGACAGTTTCCAATTAGCGCCACTTTTTATTATATTGCTTCGACAGCTTATGATGACAAGAAATAATGATTGTGAATTACATAAAAAGCATAATCCTAAAATGCGCAATATCACGTTTCTCGAAGGATAATTTCGAAAATATTCTTCTGCAAAACAAATAATCGCGTTTGAATATATAACAGTCATTAAGTTACATTTAATCGCCTCGGAGGTTTTTGCGTTGCATTGCATTAGTTGGTATATAAGGTTCGCATTTTAAAACAGTCGTAAAAGTAAAATGAAGGGTTACGCCTAAACCATTTTTATAGCCGACTTCAACCAAATTATGCATACAAAACCGTAATAAGACAGAGAATAGTATGATGATGGGAATAATTCAGTCTTTCATTAATTAGGATACACTAATAATAAATTTTGCATTTTGTATTCAAAATTGGCTCCCCCGTAAATTAGTGGTTAGAGCTTTGGGATTTGAACCAAAATTTCCAGGTTCAAAATCTGCCTCGCGCAGCCTGATGTCAAGCAGAAGTAATATCAGGTCAAAATTTAGGTAGCAATATATTCCAAGTGAAAATTGCCTTCACACATATTTTGCTTCATACCATAAAACTTCTAAGTGTACGAGTTAATTTAATGAAAAAATAAAAAAAAAAAATGAGCCAACTGTTGGGTTGACATCTAAAAAGCAGTAAGAAGCCATCACAACAAGATTATGGGATTTTAAGTTGATTGATATTAAATCCACAATAATGAGTTATATACCATAGTTACAATAAATAGATATTTTAGATCCTTTCCCATTTTATTAAAAGTGTGTCGAAACATATATATCAACATCAAATTTTTATATTAAAATACCTATTACTCGACGGACATAAGTACATACACATAAATTAATGAAAAATATACACTTTATGCACTGATGATTTTATTACTATGATTTTCAAGTGAATTGCTTCAAATTATGATCTGGTAGT